CAGGCCATGGGCAGAAAGACAGAAGCGGAAATCCAACCCTAGTTCGTCACGTCAAAATGAGATGAAGTAAGTGCTATTGGTTCATGATGTGCCAGAATTGAAGCATGACGATAGCCGTGAACGACAGAAGCACGAAATCGAAGAATGGTACATCGCAGAGCTCTACGACATGTGGAACGTCGTGGCTTTTGATGTCACCTGTCTAATTGCCTCCACAAACTACCAAGGTAGCGGGCCACGAATTTTGAAGGTTACCTTGTCTGCGCCTGAAATGGTATTAGTGGCAATCCAAGCATGGCATAAAAATAGGAAACCTGGGCCATCAAAAGTACGGTTAAGACCATTCTCAAAATTAGCACAGACCTCAGATACAGATGAGCCAGCCTCAATTGTACCTATCGCAAACCAGCCACTGTGCAAACAACCGTTTCAAAAAACTTCAGCAGATCGGCACTATTTGTGCCGGTCACTCACAGCGAACCGAGCTCCTGATGCGTCAACAAATACAATGCTGCTACACCAACACTCAAGGGTGGTATTCTAAGCTCTCGGAGCTGCGCCATCGACATAAAACAACAACTTAGGACCTCATAGCAGTTACTGAAACTTGGCTCTCAAACAACATACTTGATCCATCTCGCGGTGGCGGTGTTTCTCTCTACTATCGAGATTATCTGAAATGTGAGGCACTTACCGAAAATTCCCTTGTTATTCCCGACGCACTATTTTGCCGACTGCACCTAGCAGGTCGAGATGTTGGTTCACAGAAGAAGAGTGATGCTTGCCTCTTAGCAGTTATCTATAGACCTCCGAATTCATCAGCAAACAGCGACAACATTCTGTTAAACGCCCTCCGCCATGCTGTTTCACAAAAGTACTCTCACTATCTTATAATGGATGATTTTAATGTTCCTTCAGTAGCATCAATGTCCCCTAATGGATCATCATTTAAATGGAAACTCATCGAACTCATGGATATGGCAGTTTTGTATAACCATGTGCATCGACTAACCAGACATCGCGGTTCAAACAAGCCATCACTCCTGGACTTAATGCTAAGTAACGAAGCGTTGGTGGTTGAGTCAGTAGCATACGATCCTCCACTGGGCCGTAGCGATCATTCAGTCCTAACATTTGGTTATGTGTGTTATGCCTGTATTGTTGCTACAAAAAGAGCGACTCAACGAACTATTACGGACTATTTTAAGCTGCACAACTTAGCAGCAACCGTTGACTGGGACCTACAGACGCACAGCTCAGCGAATGACGCGTGGAATGAACTGAAAGACAAAATTAACTGGGTCATACAATCAGCATCAAAGATTGTACCATTACGAGCATCGCGCCGGAACAATACGTGGATCCGGAGCAGAACACGTAAATGGATCAACAGAAGAGATGAAATCTGGAGGCAACATTTGCTAAGCCCATGTGATATCACATGGCAGGATTACGAAGTCATCAGAAACTACTGCACGTCACTCATTAGAGTCGATAAGTACGAATGGCAGGAGAACATGGTGCTGAAATTTACGAGTAACACCAAACTGCTATACAGATTTGCGAATGGCAAAAGAAAGGTTAAGCCCGGAATACCACCACTCAGGACGGCCAGTGGCTTAACAACTACTGCGGTGGATGCCGCGAACGCTCTACTCTTGCAATTTGGCTAGGTAGCTACAAATGTCATGGAACCTTCGCCCTATCAACTCCCAACCAATGTCGTTGGCTTATCCAGCGTCACCTTTACTTCAGCAGCTGTCGCAAGCAAACTACAGTCTCTCCGGGAGTACAGTGCCCCTGGAATCGACATGATCTGCCCAAAAGTACTAAAAACCCTTGCTCCCACCATAGCAGCACCACTTGCAACCTTTTTCCAGGGTCTGCTTAGCTCCCATACACTCCCATCTGAGTGGAAAAATGGAATTATCACCCCTATATACAAAGGAGGTAAGCGATCGGATCTCGCTAACTACTGACCAATTACTCTCCTTCCTTTTTTATAAAAAGTGGAGGAATCGGTAATCGCAGATGGACTGATGCGATACTTTGCAACTCAACAAATAATTTCTAATGCCTAACATGGTTTCAGAGTCAGAGGATCTTGTCTCACCAATTTGCTGATTACTCGGGACTTATGGACCAGGGCGGCTGATGAAGGAGTGCCCATAGATGTGATATACTTGGATTTTTCTAAAGCATTCGACAGGGTCAATCACTTCTTTCTCCTCCAAAAGCTTGCTGCCTACGGTATCAACGGTTCCCTGCTCACCTGGTTAGAAGACTACTTACACGACAGAGCAATCAAGGTAAGAGTAGCCGACACTTATTCTGAAAGCCTTTACGTCTCCAGTGGTGTACCACAAGGATCTGTCCTCGGCCCGCTACTGCTTTTAGTCTACATTAATGACCTTCCAGCAGACATTCTATCTCCGATGTAAATATTTGCAGACGATGCTAAAATATGGAGAGCAATTCGCTCAACATCCGACCATGTCTACCTCCAGGAAGATCTGACCCGGATTAACGAATGGGCAGAAAGGAACCAGCTCCCACTGAACCCTGTAAAGTGCCACCTGCTGACAGTGCACAACAGTTTCGTCAACACATGCCATTTGGGGCAACACGTCATGCAACACGTGACTAGTGAACGCGACTTAGGTATAATCGTGCAAGAGAGTCTTGGAAATTCGTTCCAATGTTCGAAAGCAGCAAGTGTGGCGAACTTGAACTTGAGACTTTTGAGGTGAGCTCTCGGCACTTTTGAGCGGCGGCTAGTACCATTGTTGATTAACTCCTACATTCGTCCTCATGTTGAATATGCAATTCAGGCCTGGTGACCATGGTTACAACGAGACATCCGCCTATTGGAACAGCCCCAAAGAAGAGCCACAATGGCAACGCGTGGACTATATGGTATAAGTTACGAAATGCGTCTTCGTGTACTCGGTGTGTTCTCATTAGAACACCGACGGCTTCGCGGAGATCTTACTCTCACATACCGGATACTAACCGAAAGCGAACATCCATGTACATCACTGTTGACTCTAGCCCCTTACAAACAAAACAGAGGCAACCACCTGAAACTAATGACGTAACACTCCCGTCTGAATTGTAACAAGTATTTTTCCTCACTTAGAATATGTTCTCACTGGAATGCGTTACCAAACTATGTGGTGAACGCACCAGATATGACGACATTCGAAAGACCCTTAGACTTCCATCTTAGTGATAAACGATGCACAACACTTTGCTAAAGTGCAATGATTTAACCACTTCATGTTCCACACTGGAACATTTTGATTTTACTTTTCTTCTGCATATCCATTCTGTGGGCCTTGTAAAGTTATGCTTTTTATCCCATCACACAACATTGAACCCATGATAAGGATATGAGTGAGCTTTCGCTTTTGGCTGCATCTGAAAGCTGTCGCAAGTTGGTAGTCCATTTCCGGTGTAGAGTTTGGGGAGAGGTATACCAAAGCTATAATGCAGGTGTCTCGGCCTTGTAGTTGCAGGCGGCACCAAAGGGAATCAGCGAACTAGAAGTTTGAATCCTTCACGGCCTCGCACCGTAGGTCGCTTCGGTAATACAGAATCACCCCTCCTCCTTTCGTAAGTCTGTCGTTCCGTATGACTGCCATGGCTGCCAGCGAGACTTCAGCGTCTGTCACCCCAGTGTGCAACCATGTCTCCGTGACACCGATAATATCGCATGGCTTCAAAATTTGGCAATCCTTCAGTTCGACCAGCTTATTGAAAAGGCCTTAAGCATTTGTATAAAGGCAGGATAGTTTCTCGGTTGCTAGGAGCCCACTGAAAGCCAAAGGAGTCAAGTTTGCTAAAATACCGAGTGATGCGCGGTTCTCACTTGCCCGTACTTTCAATGGTAGCTTGTTCCATATGTGAATATACCTCACCAGGAAGAAGTTGGAGCGTATCTTTCAGTTTCCCCATTTCAAGTATACTTCCATAACGCCTGCGTACGGTGGATTCATAACATGTCAGCGGTTGTTTGGATCAAATATTAGATAGTGAGCATGCGAAACCGAATAAAAGAGCAGCGTTTCCCTAGGCAAGTGAATTCGTATTGTTATTATGCGATGCTGTCCGTTGCTCGGAACAAGCTTATAAAAAATCGAATGATCTCATCAACACTTTGGCTTAGGGCGAGTGCTGTTAAGGTCATTCGAACTAATAATCTTACCATAAATGTTTTAGTTAACCTGTCTGGAGTGTGCGGTGTCGTCACGCCCGAAGAAACATAGAGAAAGACAACTGCTAACGTTAAAGGAACCTTTATTTTATATCTCAGCTTACAAGGAGGACCTTCGAGTTCGCAGTGAATAGTAATGACGGTTGCATAGTGGTCCTATAGTGGTGGACCAAATCCTCAAGAATGCAAAGCACATTTAGCATCATCCTCCGAAACCCAACCAAAGTAACAACATAAAGGACCACCTGATAAGCTGACCACACAGTGCAAACAAATGGGCAATTACCTGAATGTATTATCTTCTCGAGTGCATCAGCCACGGAATTCCCTCCTCGTTATGTAAACGTTTCTTCCCACTCCCTAAACATAAGCAAATAGCCTCAATCCAATATACCAAGTAACAACACTACCAATACTACCAGTCCATTGTTGGTGTGAAACGCAAATAGTTTTGCCACCAGTGATGCTCGAAATTCAAGGTGGCTACATTCGCTTACATTCTCTCTTTACCACAGTTTGGCAAACTGTCACTTCGGCTACCCTACGCGTTTGTTCATCTTTGGTATTGTTAAACCAGTAGCAAACCAATGGTTTATCCTTAGGTTACCAAAGTCTGATAATAAAGTACTTTGTGAGAATCAAATCTGCCACCTGAAGCCCACTCAGATACAACAATTTGTGTTGCATTTACTTGCTTGGAGGATGGAAGGGAACTTGTGAGAATGACAACGTAGCTAAACCTCTTTTAAAAGTTACCTACAAATGTGAACGATGTTTACTTATCTCAGGTGGGAGATGTATTGGATACAAATCGTCTTTTGACAAGCAACCGCGACTGAAACCATTTCAACTTACTCACCAGTGGCATAATGACGAACTGACATCCGAATCCGATAGCAGGACCGATGGGGCGCCAAAAGTACGTCTTCAACAATGACGGATCCAACTCGCAACCCATGGTGAAAGTGAAAATTGCGACCAGTATGTTCACAGCAATGCGAAAAATCAGTTGCACCACACCATGGCCACGAAGCACGACGATCGGAAATCCGACGTAATCGAATGACATGGAGTCCAGCTCCGAGGGGTCCAGCATACCCATGTACGCCTCATCTGACGTGATAACACTCGTGTTCAGTGGCCAAGAAATGGGTTTCGTGTGGTTCAATTCTTTTGCTTTTCGTATCAAGAAGCGAAGGTAGGATAGACCTATTTGCTTTGGTGCCAGATGCACAGGAATGGAAAGAGAAGTGTTCTCAGCTGCAGGTAGCCAGTACCAAGACACATTTCTCAGGTCCACAGCCTCTATGGAGTCCAAATCAAAGGAGATCAACAGCGGCAGGCTACTGTTATAGATAAGACCGTAACTAATGTGCTTTGATTCTATATTGTCCACTGATTGCAGATCCCTTTTGGCAACGATTATGCGTATGGAGGTCTCGTTGTTGCTGCTGGAAAATTGTTGAAAAACGTATGAATTGTCATCTGGATCCTCAGATAGAGTGTGCTCGAACCCGTCACGCAACGCTAGAGTAGCTTCATGATGTTCCACTCCGAAACTTATATCTCTCGATCCCACCTCAGCGGTCACTTTTTGCCATGGGACAATTAAAACAGCTATCATCACAAAGATTGCATGTTTCAGTAGCATAGTGTCACCCACACAGTAGACCCTCTGAAACACTAAGTTGATGTCGGAATCCATGTCCAACATATACATCCTTCAGGTCGCGGTTGCAGTCATCAGTGTGTCTGTGTGCTTCCGTTCACTCAATCCGTGAGATGACACAGTGTCAGCCAATCGTTTTGCACCACAATTGCGGATGGTATGTCGATATTTACGACTGGTGAAGAACATGGTAGTTCACTGGAACACGATGTTTGCACGCCAACTTGCGAACCACCTGTTCTGAGTCAACTATGAGCCAACAGGAAAGTTAGCTTGAAGTAGCGGAGTATGAACTGTGCTTCAGAATAGCGTGTTGCAAATTCCTCGTCTAATGATTAAAGCCCCACTTGGGCAGTGGACAAAACTGCATTAATCAGGGTGGGATACGGTGGCCAATTTGGTGGACTTACGTTGTTATATTACTCGTGAGAGTGCACTTGTGAATATTTATAGTGGCTGTCTACGGACGTCCACCTACCGGCGTCAGGTTGTGAGATGACTAGATAAGGACAACTTGCCAGTTAATACTCGGAACTTACGACGACTAACTAGATCCCACAGTGAAGTCTAGGTTCTGCGCATTGTCGACTTACACGTACAAATTTGATGTACTGATAATGTGCTGAACTCATTAAATCTTGTTTGCCGTGCTAACTTATTCAAGTTCCTTCGAAAGTTTTGCTGAACTCCCGATCCACTGACACAAAGCAGCTTTTGAGCTCCATGTCACCGGAATTCTTCAGTGATCAAATGCAGATAGAACCTGAGATGTACGTGTTAACTGTCTACGCTTTCGTCAAGTCGCTTCCAGTTTGAAGCCTTAACATTAGGGTTCAATTTCTTGGGTACACCGAATAAATGTGCTAGAATAGGGGTCAAAGCTCAGTTTGAACATTCGTACGACTAACTTTTCAGTTTAGCACCAAGTATTGAGAATGCATGCGGTTGGTTCAGGGCTAGGATACTAGATCTTGCCAACCAATCCTGTGTTAATGAAAACGAAAAGCTTCGAATCCTAACAAATAATCATTGGGAATACTTAATGCAATTACAACAAAATGAAAATGGGGCATTACTGAGACCAGACAAGGGATCAGGACTTGTAACAATGGAAAAACAAGACTAATTCCAGAACATACAAACAGTTCTTGCAGGATGTAGCCGTTTTGTTTGGGATATGACTGGACAAGTTAAGATTTAACAGGTAGAGCAGTCAATAGCTCGTGAATCAAAGTACCTAATGATGGCAGAGTTGTTTGTCGTAGAAATTTTTGACGCAGCTGCGCCCTAGAGGTTCTCAGGTTTTTCAAATGTTGGCTTAAGCCAATTTTTATAAGGTGCGCCCACCAAACTAATCGAGTTTATCCGGAGGGAACTAGCCGGCTACAGCCTCGAAGCACACGGAATTTAAAAGTAGAGGGGAAGCATACGGTCTCCATCGATACATGTTTATTATTCACGAATGACCCCTTGAAGCAAACGTTGGAAGTAATAGCTAGGCATGCTGATAACGTGGGGTATCCCGTGTCTCAACTCAAATCATCGTTAAGCTTATACACAAAATATATACAGTTGCAACTCAAGGGAATTCTTCATAGCCAGATTGATGACGTAGCCATGAGTAGTCCACCGGGGCCAATTCTAGCTGCTATCTTAATGGGCCACTAGAAAATACCAAGCTACATCATTAAATACAAAATGTGCACTTTTATAGCCGCTATATGGACGGCAAATTAGTGGTAGTTGACACTGCTTCACAAGCGGCGCAATTACCAGGAATGGTGAACATGTGGCATCCCCCGATCAAATTTACGATTGAAAACGAATTCGATAGCAGGTTTCGTTTTTAGATGTTCACCTGCCGTGGAACCCTGATTTTACACTCATTAGGTCTTTATATGAGAAACAAACGTGGAAAAGACTATACCACAATTTTACTATTTTCTGTCCGACGGATCACTAACGAGCTTTACTCGGTACTGCCTTTATCAGAGCTCGTCAAATGTGCTGTCCGGAGAGGATCGAAAGTGAATTTCAAAGGGACCGTGACATTATGGAAGAATGGATATTTGCAGCGATTAGTAACAGGACACGGAAACCCAAAACCCAAGTAACACCATCAACTGATATTCCTAATAAGAACGTGTTCAGAACGCTACCATTTAAGGGGGACCAAGTTGACAGCCTTTGGTATCGTCTTCACCAATCCATCGGGAAATGTTACAATGCATCCGAACTACTGGTATTACACCAATTAAGAGGGTTGCTATGCAAATTCGACCTAGACAGACCAGACTCTCATGTTACCACTTCATGTGTCGACCTGGTTAATTGTACTTACGGCAAAAGTACATTGGCTAAACTGAGAGCAGGTTGTCTGCAAGGATCACAGAGCACATTCCTCCTAATATGGTTGCAAATGGCCCCACGGTACCTACTGGCTCGATTATTCGTCACCTACTCGACTGCTTGGCGCTCTAAAACTTCCGCGGATCGTTCAGGGTAATAACAAACAAAGAGCTCCCCCCTGCTTCTGCTCGACGAGGCTTTAACGATTCGGTGCTTAAAACCAAGTTTAGCTAAACAGAGAAAGTTTACGACTAGCCTCCCCTAGCCAGTGAGGTTAGTGTACTTTTCCCTCCAACTGGAATACATGTGAGCCCGGTGCATTTTGACCGTCTTAACTTTCGCCAATTAAATGCAGATTAGATGTCTCTGTACGCAACATGGTCTTTCCACAAGTTGTATGTACACAACTGATGTGAATACGCGAAATTACTGAATTCAATTTGTGAAGGGAAATTCTTGCAAGAAAGTTGCATCAATCCTGCTGGGATGCGGTAATCAATATTCTACAGCCCATTCAAACACAATTTGAGCTAATTTGAATAAATACCCTTCGGCTTTCATTGAGCCTGAGCTGGTTTGTATTGAATCCAACATTGCTGGTATGATATGTTGAATTGAGCAGAGTGACAGAACTAGCACCTTTCTGTGGAAATTTGCCCCAGCCTCTTAATCTGCATCGACTTCGACCAACATTTGGGGTATACTGGATAATTGATGCTACCTAGTGAACGCACTCTGCACGATCCCCAAATGACAGACACAGAAGTGTGAAAATATTTTTCCATTTCTCAACAATTACATTTGCTTCCACCAACTGGTTTGTTAACATGGTGTCATTTTTATTCACCGTCCACATGCTCCAAAGAGATAATTGGTGCGCACCATCGCCCAATCAGGAAACATTCATCTCATTGAGACGGTGTGCGACGATTTGCTGAGAAGGCTCTTAGCAATAAGGAAGTTCTCATGTACACTACAGTTGGGTTTCTGAGTGGAAGAATGGTATAATGCGGCTAAACAAGGCAAGGCTTAACAGGTTCCGTGGAATTGTTTGTGCGAAGTACCTAAGTTCAAAAAGGACCTACCACACTCGACAACGAATAAAGTTGTGCACAGCTATCCAGTAACGGTCGCGCTTGTAACGTATCTGGGCAGAGGAAGTATTAGCTAGCGCGTGCCAGATAATATGTTATTACTATCTCCCACTCGTGATTGTTTTAGCACAAGTTGTGGCAGCATAAGGAAAACCGATAGAAGAGCTCTAGAATGCCGGCATATATCTTCAAATAAACGTCTCTTTAGGTCAATGACCTGGTAAGGGCCCTTAGAATATTTGCCACTCACTTCAGTTAGAGCCCCTTTAGACATGAAGAGCAAGGCGTAATCAGATGTCGCCGTATGAGCTAGTTCGCCGCAGACCCAATCCAGTTTGTGTACGATGGAACTGCAGCGCAGCATAAACCCGGCTGCTTCATCGCAAATGTTGGACTGGTTATAATCAGGTGCAGGACAACTCTTTGTTCCAATCGTTTTCAATTCAGGTATGTTGTTCTGTACAATAGCGCATCAATCAGAGTCAAGTTTAGTAAAAGTGCAACAACGCATCGTAACAAACTCGAAAGCTACCTCCATCTGAACGTTATTGCGACCTAGTTCTTATGGGAAAAGGTGTTTGATTTGCGAGCTAGCTGGAATGAACATAATTTTACTAGTACACAGACCAGTGATGAACTGCGCATGTACACAGGTAGATAGCTGAATTAGAAGTGAATTCGACTGAAGAACTGCGAATTTTTGCCCCTTAATCCATGTGCTTCGCATGAGTACTAATCCTTTCATGAAGCAATATGTATTGAAGTGCAGGTTACCTCTCGTAGCCTGCTATGGAAGCACTTAGATGTGCCACTACCACGTAAAACTAGTGTGTTTTTAAAGTGCGAGTGCATTCTTTCCGCTTTCGTAGTTCGCCAGGATTTACCATCCCAGTTATCATCACACACGTGTTCTTGGGTCTTACATTTCTTGTAAAAATGTCAAAACATGAATTTCATGTTTTAATTGGCTTGGCTGTGTTAAACTCCACCAACTGAGATGCAACAATGCAATAGTAGTCCAGACTCTGTGGTTTTGTGCACCATGTGCGGCCGTCCCGCACCTCAAGTTTGTGTTTAGTTATCCCAGTGATATGAAAGGCTAACTAACATGAATGATCAAATTACAAGCTCCAAAATCACCTCCCTAGAAGAAATCATGGAGAATTGTTATGCTCCATGCCAAGCCTAAAGAAGGCTGGGCAACACATTAACTTTGCGCCGCTTGCGCTTGGCTTGTAAACGCCATTAGTGCACCCAGGTACGTTTTAACCACAGAACTTCAGGTTGGTTGGGAGAGTTACGACTTGGGCTCTATCCACTTTCCAATGTTTCCCGAAATCTCGGAAACAATGACAAGAGTGGTGGTTGGGCCCTGGTTGCAGCTAACGAGGACTAAATATTCAGGCTTCCAGCTACTCCTAGCGAATCATTAACCGGTGGGGGAAATGAATTTCAACGTGAACAGTCACCATCAGTTGCATGCAGACAATCAGAAAAGTCGGTTACGACCCATACTGCGCTAAGGGCCAGTAGGAAACCACCTAGTATGCTGCGGGTAATCTGCGCCAATGTTTCGGAATCCACATCAGACTCCATAC